GTTTTTATAGATATACAATGGATGTGTGCACATTTTTGGGTGTTAAAGCAGAAGCAAGGTGAAAAAAGAAAACAATCGTCGTTAGGTAGGGATTTTTGGCAGTAGAAAAATTTGAAATCTCTTCTGCCCAAAAAAATTCTTCCTCTCTTTCCCAGCGATTTTTTGTATGTGCCATACACTGTACACACTCAGCCCATTCACAGCATCTCCAAGAAGCCGTGAATGGGCTGGTTGCGGGGAGGATGTGACTTCTGTGCCCAGTCTTCCTAGGCCATGGGTGGCCTTTGATGGTATGAGTTTCACCATCAGTGGCCACCCTATGGCTAAGGTGGACCTCTTTGTGCCCAGGAGTTACACCATCAGTGGCCACCCTATGGCTAAGGTGGACCTCTTTGTGCCCAGGAGTTACACCATCAGTGGCCACCCTATGGCTAAGGTGGACCTCTTTGTGCCCAGGAGTTACACCATCAGTGGCCACCCAATGGCTAAGGAGGACCTCTGGAAGTGTCAGCAGTGGGAAGGGACAGAACCGAGGACCAAACATTAATCTATAAGCACTGGCGATGGGTATATTTGTAAGGTAAGTGCACCGTAATGTACAAGTACACTTCTGGGCCCCCTCCAAGTGGCCGAACTCCAGGGCCCGGTCGCGGTAGTTCCGCCACTGAGTACACTGCACATACTTGCATACTAGGGCAAAACAAAAAAATGTACACATTGGTTTACTTCAACTTTAAAGAACTCTGCTTTAAGGCAGTCCATTCATTTAAATAGACTGACAGGACACGTTAAGGCTGGATTCATATCTAGGCAACCGCGTATTTGCTTGTTTCCACTTGTATTTTTGCTGCTTTTTACACATAAATCACATTGCTTTTTTTTTTTGCAAGCAGATTGTGACACATTGATGTTGATTGGCAAACACGTGTTTTTGAGCTTTTCCATTCAAATCTATGGGGGCCAAGCAGCTCTTGATCTGTCAAGAAACTAAATGTACTTTTTCCAGTGACGGGCATTTTGCTTTTGGCAGTAGCGTGTGAACATGGCCATAAAAAAATAATAGTATTGTATTTTGAGCTTTTTTTTCCTAGAATTTTTAAGGCAGAGAAAGCGCTACACAACGCTGGGTGTGAATGGAGGCTAAATCACAACAAAAAACACCTGAAGCATCTTCTGCAACACAGCACACTACAACATGCTAATGATCCCTAAATTGGCCTGATGGCTCTTGGATTTGACTATTAAACTTTGACCATCTGGCTTGATTTAGAGCAGGTTCACACCTCTTTCCGGACTAGATCTGGAACGCAGTGCACTTTGTTACTTTTGTACCGCAATTTTACCGCGTTCCGGAGCAGTTTTTTTTTTTCGCTTTAGGGCCCATTAACACCACATCCAGACCCAAAATGCATCCTAATATATCCCTATGCTATTTCTGGCCTCTGTTCACACAGCGCAGTCCATTCCAGACCAGACCAAAGAAATACTGCATGTCTCATTTTGTCTGGTCTGGAATGCACTGGAACTGCGGGCAGGTTCACACCATTTTCCAGACTAGATCTGGTCCAGAAAATGGTGTGAGCCTGCCTAAAATGGGTTTTCAGGTCCCTTCCAGTGCGTTTGCATGCATTTTTGATGCGTTCCAGACCTGCCAAAATGAGACATGCGGTATTTTTCTGGTCTGGAATGGACTGCGCTGGTGTGAACAGAGGCCAGAAATTGCATAGGGATGCATTTTGGGTCTGGAAACAATCTGGTCTGGAGATGATCTGGAGTTGATGGGCCCTAACAGCTCTTAGGGGTCTATTCACGAAGCTGCCGAAGGATCTGGCCGTAGCGTCGGCCGATCCTTCGGCTAGCTTCGGCCCCAGGACCCCTTCGGTTCAGTAGAACCGAAAGGGGTGCTGTACGGGCTATTCACAATAGCCCGTACAGCTCCCGAACATGGCCGAGCGGCTCAGTCGA